CCCCCCCCTGATACGTGCACCTTAACGACAGTATTGTCGAAAAGGTTAACGGAGTGGCATGCGCGGAATTGAACACGTGTGTACCTATTCGAGTGGTAAGGCAGAACCGATTCTAAATCGATCATCAACTTGAGAACGGTCAGTGTTCGGGTTTGAATGTCTTGCATGCGGCGGAGATTCGAGAGACGTAGCTACGGGGAATATTCGAGCAGCGTTCAGAACGCATTCTAGTGACTATTCCTGGCCAAAGTGCTGGATAGTCTCCTTTGAATTGGTTCCTCGTGCTGGCGAAGGACTATCGACTCGAGTGAATAAAATCATTTTCAACTGTGAACCAAGCACACTACGTCATTAGGTATACGTCTTGATATATGTATACCTTAAATCCACTATATGTATGCATAGGGTACCTACATTACAAACCTAATCCTAATCGCTGACAGTTTCCCTCCAAGACGATCTTACTTTGCTTAATTACCCATCTTAAACGCGCTGCGGCATCTCGTACGAATTTCAAACCTGGTATTACGTAATGTATTACTCAATATATCACACTCGACAATTTCAAGCATCAAGGCTCACCATTTACAAAGCATCGCTAAGCTCTTTACGTAGGCTTGACACGATGGCGATATTGCACGTGCTTGGCACGGATTCGCGCGTTGCTCCAGTATTCCATTGGAAAAACATCTACAGCATCGTCTACGTTGACGTAACTAAGGAGTGTGTATAGGATGTGCTGTAGTGTTTCGAATTTTTTGGAAATTTTTCTCATCGCGTTGATATACCATTTTTTTTATTCATACTATACTACCATGAAATTCTTTCCTTAAGAATTTCCTATGACTCTTGGCACACTCTTGCGGGTGCAAAGTGAAGCTTCAGAGAGAAAAGCGACAGGCACTACTACGGTTGGGAGGGAAATGAAAGCAGAGCGGGAAAGGGACTATTTAGTAGATTTATTTCACTGTTATGATACCCCTGGATCCACTCGAATAAACTGCGGTACTAACCGTAACGTTCCACTTGATATTTACAAAACTCAAGCAGTCCAATTGGTTCCGTTGCGCGAAATCCCTTTTGGTACTGTACGCATATTACGGATCCCGGTACCTCAATAGCCAGTCTCAATTAGTTATACCTTTTTCGCAGGATCCCTGCCCTATCTTAAATCAACCGAAAAAAGGTTCACGACTTTGTAGTTCAAGGAAGCACTCTCTATGAGATAAGATTACTAGGGACGTAAAAGAGGAGAGACCATCTATATTGTATCTTTATGCTTGCTTGCTAATGCCATGAGCCAACACTTTTCTGCGTGTGTGTATATATATATATATATATATATATATATATATATATATATATATGTCCTTATATTGTTACACGGGTCGAGACTCGCTTATCGATCAATGCATCGCCCTTGCGAATATCGGTAACGGGTCATCGTATAACGATATGATACGGTGACGTAACGGGTGTGTGATAAATCGCGCCGATGCTACGTCCTCCGCTCATCTTTATAAATGACGAGGTGAATTTGTGACGCGGGCCCGTCCATTATGGCAATCCCGTTTCCTGGACGGATCCATCGTCTTCTGGAAAAAGCTAGGTCCCAACGTCCTTCCTATATATACGCCGACAAGCACATATATAGTTTCTCTTATATTCTCATTCACCAACTTTTACCTCAAGGGACTCGCGCGCATCTTTTGTCTGACGTTATGGGAAATTTCGTGGTTCCATTTCGAAAATGGTACGAGAAATTTTTTCCTTGAACAAGTTATAAAAATTGTAGGGCATATTGCGAAGTGAGTATATAATCCATATGTATAGCTCACCTGGATAAGCAGCGTGCCCTATCGTTACCAGGCAACCCTGAGGTGATAAGATAAGAATTATCAAGTACCACCTCTTATACTCTACTGTATTGTCGTGCGGTCAAGCAATATGTATAGAACTTATTACGGAATATATTATGAATAAGTATATATTTCCAAAGCACGTAACCTTTAAAATCCAACAGTGAGAAATGGTCTTCGGGAACGAATGCATCTCCAGTTACGACTATTTCGGATAGTGCTATTTATAGAGGATTTCTTTGCGGGCAGAGGCGCTGAAAACCTCAAGAAGAATTCCTGCTGGCTCGCCCGTCGAACGGGAACAACAAGCAGAGTACCGATCCGTCTGACTTGCGGAATTTACGAGAGCTTCCGAGGAAGATTCTTTTGGTCGTTGGTACGTGACGTTTAGCAACCTGGCAAAAGCTGAGGACGTTTTGATGGCCCGTGGATAACCGTTCGCTATATATATACGCATACATGCATACGTATATATGCATAGAATGGGAGGTGACATTTTTTTTCTTTCATTCATTATCTACGATTTATTTTTGATGGTCCCGTTCGAATTCACGAGTCCGAACGAACGATTGCCGATTTAAAAAGCAGTTCCGATCCTAGAACGAAATAGGATAGGGCTGCCGTCAGGGAGGAGCTTGTGGCTGGGGTGGTCGTCACTTAGCAGAGAGTGAGCTTGCGCTGTCAGCCAAAATAAACAGAATGTCACGGGTATAAATAAAGCTCCTTCCTTTTCCCTCGTACCCTCTCGCCCGCGGTGGCCATCGCTCGATGCACGCCACCTCCGTGGCAGCTCTCTTATCAATGTGTTTCGTCTCTAAAATGCTTTTAAAACCGTCCACGTCCGTCACACCCACATGCGTCACTGGCCAAAATAACGTCTCCGACGTTTTAACATTTGCTCCACGTCTGCCCACACTCGTCAGTTCGATTGAGGACAGACAGTCGAAAGTCAATGACAACGCGAATTCGCGTTACTTGAGTAATAATGACGATCGAAAAAAAAGAATCGTCAACGACGAAACCTTCGGTAGCGAAATGTCTGCCAGCGAGATATTGCCAAATGGAATTATTCAGGCACATTACAAAAATCAATATTATTCCCAAACAGGTTTTTTCAATAATGTGTCTCTCTAGCAGGAGGATTATCTTAAGGATTCGGAAAAAAAAACAAAATTCAAAATCAATAAAAATCGCCTGTACCCAAGGCTATGTGCAATGAAGAATTTTTCAATGTGGCGGATACTTCTTCGATAACCGGATACCTATATCGCGTCCTATAATGAATTCTCCTCTCGGAAAGGGTTAACGAAGTGGAAATTACAATCAGACCGGAGACTTAGTATCGGCAATTGAAATGGAACACGCGGTTCCCGTAATTCTCTCGTAACTACGCACGTAAGGAGCGATAGCGCGCGTATAAGGCGAAGTCGTTAATATTTCATTAACATTGTTCTAACGGAGCCTCCATGTGCTTTACGTGCGCTTTCTCGTATTTTATTGCCCTGCTGAACGAGAGGGTCGAAAACACTGCTCGAAGGTACGTTTCTCGTAAATAGGTAGAGCAGTAGCAGTGTTGGATTTCCTTAGCGTTTCTTTTTAACCCCCTTCAGTGATACCAGTGACACTTACTCCCGATACTCGTGATAGTATTTTTCTCTGGAATGCTTTTTGTTATTCGGTCAAGAATCAACCCCGTCGGGTGGAGGGAAATGAAATTACTCGAAAGAAATTAAGTTCGACGATCGAATCTCTAGCGGAGGCAAAAAAATGGTTTAGTCGATTGTACAAATAAAAAGTGTCAATAAAACGATCAGAGAGATCTCGAATTTAGTACGATTTATTAATTGACATTTTCAAACAATGCACTGTTTCGCCTAATTGATTGCATCCTCGTAACAGTGAAGTATACATTGTGTTTGGCAAATATGAATGAAACAATACGAATACTTGTTTTCCATTCGTCGCGTTATCGTATCGTTTAATGATTTTTTTTCTTTTTCTTTTTCCCTGTATCAAGGTAAATCGTGTGGAACAAAAATATTTTGCGTAACGAGGAAAATCGAAACTTTAAAAAAATTATTTTTCTCACTAATCACGCGTAGACGCTTTCTCTATTAACAGTTCTACGAAACGGTTGGCGCTTCTATGTACGTACACAGCTATGAATCTGTATGGTGCGCAATACAAAAAAATATTTTCCAGAGAATTAAATTTCAAACGTACCGGCAAAACTCGTTGTTTGTAATACATCAAAGGAATGTATGATGAAATATACCGTATATCAGTTGGCGAATTTTGTTTCTCCTGCAATTCCCTCTTTTATGAATACGCAGTATTTCCGGATGATTTTTTCATCGTTCCCTCTGAAGAGTTTTCATTCATCTCTACATTTTGTATATACACCAAACGATACGGAGGGAGTTTTTGGGGGTTGGTAGAAATGAAGAATACCAATAAGTCGCATATGTCTTTATGGTATTCCGTCGTCGTGGAAACGATGCTTCACCCTCCTCCGCTTTTACCATTTCCATCGCAACCGTCTCTCTGCCCTGGCTTGGTTATATCTTCTTTGACTACGCAATCTCGACAACCCTTTCAATTCAACCAATTAATTAGTACTTAATGAACTTGCTTTGAACTGCATTCTATGCCAAAGTTACAAGCGGACTTGCGTACTATGGATCACCGCGCGAGAGAAACGCGTTACAGCATCCGGTAGGCGAACGCGAATCCGATACACCCTGAATATATTTACAGTGCGAATAACAGCGAGAGGAGTTTATATTTCGAATCGACCGACACTTCTGACACAAGTTCAAAATTCCAATCAAGCATCAATTAATGCCTCTGATGCACCAAGAATGTTTTACCATATATAATTCAATGAAAGTTCGAGTGCTGTACTCACCATTTCTGTTTTCGCTGTCCGCTGGTTTCATCTGGATCGGATGATGCATCTGTAAATAAGAAATACACGTATTAACAACACTGTATACGTTCTCCTTTCTTCCTACGTAAATACATACAATGAATAGCATACGCAGCAAAATAAATCTGATCGTGATTAAATGTGAAAAAAAATATCTTACAAGATAAATCGAATTATCTATGACAGTTCTAAAATTGCAATTAAAAGCAGTAGGTATCGATTATCCTCTCGTTACTTCACTGAGATTTTCGATACATATGAATACGAATAACGACGAGGAATGAGCGATTCGCACAAATGCATTGAAATTGACGACACCAATCTAGTGACGTCCTGCACGATTCGCGAATTCTAGTGAATTCTAATTTAAGTTAGTTGCATCGAGTCACTAGTGTTTTCATCCCCATAGCCACAGTGTTACCAATATAGGCCAAGCGAAAAATAGGATAATCGGAGAGTTCCACGAGACTAATGATTAAATCAGAAAAGAGTACACGGAGACCCTTGCCTAGGTCAAGGTCCAACCTGACACTTGGTCAGGCATAATGTTGAATCACGTTGACTGATGTAAACAGTGTTAATTACTAGGTCGCTCCCTGTTAAGGGTGGCCTATCGATGCCGTCACGCCATCAGCAACTCACCCTTACTAAAGAGTATACCACTGGTATCGTTTACCTACTCAGCACGCACTCTGCTGGCTATTTTCTTTTCTTTTTCTTATCACTCTCTTCCCCATCCACAGCCCGAACTCTCCTTCGCTTTTCTATTCCCTGCAGAATCTCGTATATTAGATACGTCCATTCCCGCAGGCTCTTTATTGGTCCACGAAATTGAATGGCCTCTACGAAGATTCGTATTCCGTAGGAATTTTCCAAGTCTATAGGGTGGCTTTGCGAATATCGAAGTAGGACATTTAGGAATACACCTGGTGTACAAAGTATGCCTGTTAATCCTACCGACAATGTCTTAAAGTGTCCTGGGTGCAATCGCCGCGCCGAACGTTGACGTCGCTCGTTTCATCTAATTCCCGACAATGTCCGTGCTCGTCGCGGAAACTGGTTCAACGGTATTATAAACCAGGCTGCGCGTAACTACGCGCGAACGTCCGTGTAATACGCGTGTCGTGCGGCTTCACGTAATTTATCACTGGCATAGCTAACCGTCTTGGCATGAATTGTGTGGACTAGACGTATGGTGGGGGACGCGGCGTCTTAAGGTGTCGCAATCGAGAGTACGATTTCGTGGGATATAAGGTAATACTGTACATAGGGTGTGGAACTCTATTTCTATATAAACTGTGACGCGATTTTTCGATTTACGGTCACAAGGCGACTCCAACAACAGATTCAGATAACGTTCTCGCTTTCCGGCTCCCTTCGAGTCGCCACTCTGCTCAGAAGCTACGCTCTCGGGTTGATCCGTACAGTTCCGCCAATGCTCTCGGAAGATTTCGTTATTGTTGAGTTGAGGTCGAGGTGGTCGAATCTGCCGTGGAGAGATAGCCTCGACGTACCGAGTTGCCCGGCAGAGGAGAGTACCCGACGGAGACGTCTCTACGGACCGGCAGAGGTCCGTCCCAGATACCAGCACCCCGCTGGAGAGTGGCAAAGGGCTGTAGAGCGGGCGGAGATAGTTTTGATACGGTTAAGGGCAGGAGAGGAACCTCCTGACCCGAGTTAAGGATGTGGTGCCCCATGCCTTTGCGGAGCGGTCGTGGAGGATCTTCAAAAGTTACGTACCGATTTCCTAAGGAACGCTCTCGATTTGGTTTAAAGGGACGACTCGAGGGAAATAGAAGAGTTATCGGCTATAAAGATCTCGACCGATCGGAATTATTAATTCTCGAATTTGGCTATTGTCAAAGCAGTTTGTCTCGGGGCACCGACCGAGGTGTCACGAACTACCTCGCGCTCCCGTGATATCTGTTGCTAGTTTTTCTAGCTGTGTTTCGATACGGGATAGAGAGTTCTCGCTCGTGTAGTTCTCGCGTTGCTCTCGCGATATCCAGGAAATTCTATGGATTCTCTGTGAGTGTTCCGGAGGTGTAGTGCTGTGCCCCAGTGCAGTGCCCATTCAGGTGTTCTTTGGATACCGTTCTCGGCCTTCACGGATCAACTGCACCAGCTTCAGCGAGGACTCAATTTATTAATTGGCGAAGGGATTTAGACTTGATACTTCCGATTCGTTCTCTTACGTTCTCGATCGGTTGCTCTCTATATCTCGCACTATTTGCCTGACTCTTACTCCGACACTCTCTACCTCAACCTAGTAGCCCGAACGGCCGTGCATTTCCGTAACCGTCCGCTCCCGTTCGTGACTCCAGTTGCATTTTCTGATTTCACGCGACTCGGAAGATCAGCATCTACGGTTGCGTTTCTCGATTTCAAGCGTCCACAAAAATCGACAGGATCCGTTAAGTTATCGCATTATCTGACAGGGTCCATAAGAGATCTCGTTTTGGCTGAGTTGGGCCTGTTCCACCCCATCTCCCAGGTCATACCGGCTCGTCAGTTCCCAGTGAAAACAGATTTGGCTGGCGCCCGCCTGGCTTGCAGATGCGTCAGCGAAGGGTGGACGGCCGAAGGTAACGTAGCTTGGTTCTCGAAGATAGTTTGTTTTCGGATTTTTCGCTATCGGTGCTGAGTTAAGGAAAGGTACGTTACAAAACATATGCGATTCATTCTATGGCGCGTATGATAGAAGTACGGACGCCACTGCTGGATATGTTTATAGGGGGCCCAGAGGTGACGTAGTGAATTTACTACACGAGACTTCGTGCTAGTAAGTCAGGCGAGTTTGGCATTGCCGACTAGACCCACTCGTTTTCTGGCTCTGGGTTATTTCGCGTATTGCAACGTAGCCCGCATCAAGTTCATATCTATGCTAAACACGAACGCGTTTGGTTTTAGTGGCTTCCCCCCTATAGTAACCTTATACCCTGGCCGATCTCGTACTTTTGTATAATGCTCGCCCACTCCGCCCGACATATTGCCCATGTTCACGGATTTATGCAGATGCCCCAGGATAAAAACGCAAAGATGCATAATGGCGTTGAGCCTGTTGTTACGTCACTGCGGAGTACCGAGGAGCGGGAAAATGACGGAGAAGGAAGGGGATGGAGGAAAGGAAGAAAAGGGGTGGTTTAGAGGGGGGA